GCCATTTCTCCATCTCTCCTTTTCATTTCTTTTAAATTGTCTCAGATTGTTTCCTAAATGAAAAGACTTTGAATGGCCACACCTCTGTCCCCTCCATACACAGCTCACTGGTAGACACAGAGCATGCCTGCAGGCAGAGCTTTGAGAAGAAGTAAGCATGTCGAATGATGCAGTCATACAATCCCCAGGAAGATAGCTGGAGTCTTGGGCAGAAATGCTTCTTTGAGGTGGTCATCTCTGCCTCCTCTCAGGACTGGTGACTGTTTTGATAGACAGAGCAGGTACAAGCCTCAAGGTTGGGTGAGCAAGAAACGGAAGCTATTTTTAAACTCCTGTAACTAGATTTACCTCATTTCAAGCTTCATCTTTCGCCTAATTGCAGAAAAGCTCACCTAGACCAACTTGAGGTGGACCAAATTGTTTTCTGTTCCCTCTGCTGATTCAGATTTCCTCTGCCCTCTCTCTGTCATTGTCTCCTTTCCCATTGGCATTCCTTGCCTGTCACCGTAGCTGTGGGCCTTTGTAGTCAGCTCACATTCTGCAGTTTAGTTTTGGTCCCCTGCGCCCAGCAGACCCTTTCCAGCTAGTTCCGAGGTTCAGGGCTATTCAAGTTCTGAATGCCCTGGGTCATTATAAGAAAGCAACTCTGCAGGCTAGTATACCAAGATGGTAGGGTGGGCAGGATGGCTCAGAGGGCATGACACTTGTACCGAAAGCCTGAACACCTGAGTTCAATTCCCAGAACCCAGGTAAAGGGGAAAAGATGAGTGACGGTGGTGGTGGTGGTGGTGGTGATCATGGTTATGATAATGGCGAGGGTGACAGCATAGCCACTAGCACATAACACACAGACTAGACAAGCTTCTACTTCCCAGGAGCTTCTCAAGCGAAAACTCAAGAACTGTCCAAACAAATCTGAACCTAGGCAAATGGGCACATCTAATAGTTCGTGTTCAGAGCAGTCCTTCCAGGGTGGGAGCATGACATGTCAGGATGCCCTACTAGTTTGAGCCTCTGCCTACACCACGTTTATACTTCTCCCTCCTTTGCTTAAAAAGAACGACTCAACTTGTCTAAACTCCAGGCTGCAAACTCTAGATCTTTTTTTAACTGGCCGCTTGTTAGATCCAAGCTCATAGAGGCATCTCTGTCCACAGTACCCAGAGGAGAGGATTCTATCTCAACCATGCGTTAGGCCCATCTTACTCCATTTCCAGGCTCATCTTGATCAGCCATGGCTCAGCAGGAGATAATCTTCATTGCCAACATGACTGAATTTAAAATAGTCATGGAAACACCCCTCTGAGAGTGTCTGTAGGGGAGTTTCCAGAGAGCTGTACCTGAGATGGGAAGATAGAGGTGGCTCCATATGCTAGGCTGGAGCCCTAGATTGAATAAAGAGGGCAAAGTCAGCCAAGCGGCAGCCTTCGTCTTCCCCAGTTTCCTGCCTGTGACAGCCCTACGGTCAGCCAGCACACCCTCCTGCCTCCGTGCCTTCCTCTCAGTAATAGATCTTATTATCTCCAATTTATGTGCGTCAGAGGTGACCCTTCCTTCCTTAAGCTGTTTATCTCAGATGTTTGTTTTCAACAATGAGAAAAGTACTGGGTACACCAGGCCACCATAATGTTTAATAATAAACCCTGCCAGCGCCTGATGATTGCCTCCCAGACCTGCTCCCCTTAGACACACCAAAGCACAGCTCCTGACACACTTGTTGCTTTCCTGGAAACCTCTGAGCTTCCGAAGCTGCCCTCAGATCCAAGTTCACACTTTTCTTGACTTTAAGAATATGCATCCTCTGGCCCAGCCTGCTTTCTCAGGCAACTTCTTCCCAGACCCTTTCTCCTTGCATCAAAACCCTACAGATCCTTGGAAGTCTTACATTTTTACCTCTTTTATGAACACCTTTGAACCCTTTTCTTAACTCTTCCTTGATCTATGAGGTGTGGCTAGACTTTGGTTCCTCTCTTGAATGACCAGAGTTCACAGCCCTGGACTGGAACACCCTAATGACAGGAGCACTGTCAATCATCTCGTAGCTAGCTCCTTAGCACCGGAAGTCCACCGGCTGAGTACGCTTACGAGCCAGTGTGGGTAAGTGATAGGACCCAGTCCACTCAGCCAAACATTCACTCATTCCTTTGAAGGTATTTGGTGGATGTGATCACCATATTTATAATTAATCCGCTTCAAGTGGTGGGTAGTGGAGAAAGCCCTGGGTGTGTGAAATCCTGAGTGGATGTGCTCAGCTGTATATAAGAACCAAGTCTTCCGGTTTATCTGCACGGAATAACCTTTAACTGAAGAGAATACTGAGCTTCCAGGGTGCTATGACTTTTCTATCCGAGAGCCCAGTCCACTGAATCCCATGTTTTCTGTGTGTCTGTCTGTTTGTCTTTTTTTTTTTTTTTTTTAATTCCCTTGCTGCCCCAGTCAGCTCAATCCCTGGCCGTGCCAAGATGAGACACCAAGTAGAAGACATTGTCATTGATGAAGTGGGTGGGTTTTATCTCACCACTTGAAAGCCTTCAGCAGCAGAAGTTCTTCCGGAGGAAGGAGGAATTTCACCTCAAAACCATCAGCAGCAATGTCTGCTGGGAGGTTTTTAGCTCATTGGCCTCATGGATTACAAGCTTTCTGACTTCCACAATAAATAACACAGGCAGTATCTTGAAATACATCTCTTTAAAAAAAATTTCCCCGCTTGCTTATCCAAGTGCATATATACACACATGCATGTGGTGGCTTAAGGCTGATGTTGGGAATAATTCTTGAATATTGTTCCACATTATTCAGTGAGGCAGGGTCTTTCAATCAACCCCAGAGCTCACTGATATGGCTAGTCTCGTCTGAAAGCGAGGTCTCCCAATCATACCCAGAGCTCACTGATATGGCTAGTCTCACTCTAAAGCTAGCTCTGGGAATCTCCATCTTAGTCTTCCAGGGCTAGAATTATTACAAAAGGGGTGCCCCGTGTATCCTGTATTTACGTGAGTTCTAGTGATCCAAACTTCTTTCCTCACACTTCCTTGGCAAGTGCTTTAACCAAGGAGCCATTTCCCTAGCCCCGAATCTCTTTGTGTGGGACTCATTTCTGTCTCTCCAGAGAACCCCAACAAACACAAACACCTGTTTATGGAACTAATGTAGATGTTGTGAGTGCGGTTGACCTGTGTACTCAAGAATAGCCACCAGACTATGACGTGCTTTGCTGGCCATTGGCATACCAAACACAAGGGAATGAACCTGAGCTTGGGGTGGAGTGGTATGATTGGACTGTGAAATTTCCCTCCCCCAAGCTCATTATTGAAGTCTTGTTCCCAGCTGGAAATCCAATTTTGTGCTAAAATCTCCTGAAGGTGGAGCCAAACGGGAAGAAGTAGATCTTGGCTGGCCCGCTTAAGAATGTTACCTGCCCCTGCTCTCTTGTCCTTTCTCTGTTCCCTCCTCCTGGAGGTGAGTAGCTGGCGGCACAGGCCTCCACTGCTTCGTAACTCTGCTTCCCTGGGATTCTGAATGCAAACTGCCAAGGAACATGATTAAAACTGTCAGCCCCCCAAAAGTAACACTTCCCTTTAAGTTGTTCTGTCAAGTATTATGTCACAAAAGGTCTGACAAGCCCAGAAAGGACTTCCGTTTGGTTACAAGCAAGAGGAATTCATTCTAACTAGACAAGCAAAAAGAAATTCGTTGAAGGAGATGCGGCCAGGCTCCATGGGCCAGAAGTAGCGCAAGCACTCACAGAAACCAGACCTTGCTAGACCTTCTTCCTCTCCTCCATCCTCTTGCAGAAACATGTTTTTTTTTTTTTGGTTGGTTTTTTTTCCTTTTGGCAAATCTCTCATACTCCCAGAGAGAAGGCTGGGTTGTACTAGCCAGCCATAAACCAATATGGCCTCAGAACTCTGGCATTCCCCATGTTGGCTTATACGTCTCAGCTCGCTGGGGCTTCACAAACCTGGAGGGCAGAGATCTGATTGCTGTGAGCCTGCCAACCTCCCCTTGTCAGGGAAGGACAGAGAGGGACAGGTAAAGTGACCCAGACATGATTATCTCAGCCCTATCACTTTAGCAGAGGACAAAGAAGAAGACCAGCTTTGCAGAGCCCTCCAAACAACTGCCTACTGGATGCCTGGTATCCTGACCTAGTTGGTTCAGGCTGCCACAGAAAACAATTATGCATCGTTCTGGAGGTTGGCAGGCCAAAGCCAAGGTCTTAGCAGGTTGGCTTCTTCTCATGCCTCTCTCTGTGGCTTACTGATGGCCACCTTCTTGTCTTCCTGTTGTATGTATGGCCTTCTCCCCTTCCTTTCAATAGAAGTATGCTACTCATTCTCTAAAGACATGGCACATGGCCTTGCCCATGTGACCCATTTATGTAAAGTCTACCTTCAACTCCTAATTCTTCACAGTCTCAGGCCTGTGGATTAGGACTTCAACACATGTCTTTTCAGGGGAAAGAATCTCAGTAGATAACACACATACACACTTCTTGACAGAGATACCTAATAATTCTATTTAGTTAAGACCCCTCTCAAAGCCAGGCGAGGTAGCATCCATTTAGAATCCCAGTCTTTGGGATGCTGAGACAGGAGGGTTATGAATTCAAGAACAACCTTAGCTCCATGGTAAGAGAAGACTCTGCCTCAAAAATGTTTTCCTCTCCAAGTGAGGGCAATGCTGTCTCATCACATCTGTGCATAGATTGAAGGCCATGAAGATAGGACATACATTGTAGCTACCTCGTAGCTACTTGATTATTATTTTCTTCCCACTGGTGGGTAGAACACCATTTACTATGCTTCAGAGCCATCCTCAGTTTGTGTCCCCGTGGCTTTCCTCCTGCCTGGCCCTTCTCTGTCTTAGGTTTGTCACCATCACCGCACAGCCACACTCTGCATGGAGTAGGTAGGAGATTTTAGCCATCAATTTTATTATCCAGTTATGTTAATGGTCCGTGAAATAACACGTGAAGAAGCCCATTAAACACTGTGAAAGTTTCCATTTCTTCCAAATGATGGAAGAAGGAGAGAGGCCAACGTAACTCACGGCTGAGGAGAGAGGCTGACCTTCACCTTCCGGTGTCCTTCTCGGAGCAACAGCTTAGACCACTCAGAATTCTGGATTGCGGGATTTGGGGCTGACAGACGCTTAGGCGTTAGCAGGCAGCACAGAGTCATATTTAATATCTTGTAGTTGAGATGAGCTTTTAATCCAAATGTTAACTTTTTCCCTTCATCAAACTGTGTTCTGGCTCCTGGTATATACGTCCTCACACATAACCTGTTAGACCCAGGCACAACCTGATTACAAAAGGTCAAAGTTTATAAGGTCAAATTTATAAGCAGCTTCCACCTAGATCCCGTTCTTTGCCCCAACCCAACAGCGGCCCTTCCCTAAGCTCTCAGGGGCCCGGGACAGCAGTGGATTCTCAGCTGTGCCTGTCTGTGAGTGTTTGCTGGCCACTGCTCATTTCTGCAAACTGTTACACAACAGACTTACGGGTTTCTCTGTCCATCCGGCTGCCACAGTCCCTGGCATTTCTACCTCACGGCCCACCACTTCCAGGAAATGTTACAGTTCCTTCTCTTCTCCATGGCTCTTTTCCACTAGAGACCCCAAGACTTGGGCTAGCATTTCTGTTCTTCCTCCTCTTTGACCATTTTCTTGGCTCTTGCATCCAAGCTCAAGGATGTCCACCTGAGCAACATGTATGGAATTCCTAGTATATAGGTGTATATAGATATAGATATAGATGATATAGATATAGATATAGATATAGATGATATAGATATAGATATAGATTCACACATTTACAGGTAACAAACCGTAAAAACATTTACTGTTTAAATTGCTGATTTGAGTTTCATAAAAGAAAAAAAAACTAAATGAATTTTAATTAGGGATTAGGACAGAGTTTTCAACGACTTCTGAAATGGCCCTAAACCATTCCGTACTAAGTTATTTATGCAAAGTGGCAGGCTCAGCATGGATGAACAGACAATGAAAATATCAGTCAACTCTGAAAAACGTTGAAGATGCTGAATATCCTGCAGTATCAAATATGTGGTCAAGATTTAAATCTTTAAGTAAGAATAAATAAGCACCCTTATCCCATTGGTATGCAAATTTACTTTTGAATTTGATAAATGGTAAAATTATAAAATTGCTTTAAAATAAACATTTTTATGGTTTGTTACCAGTAAACGTGCACTCTATACATATATTATATACCGATATACTAGGAATTTTATATTTAGTAAAATTACCATTTATCAAATACAAAAGCAAATTTGCATACTAATGGGATAAGTATGCTTGTTTATTCTTACGTAAAGATCTAAATCTTGACCAAATATTTGATACTGCCAGACATAGAGTCTTCAACATTTTTCGGAGTTGACTGACATTTTCATTTTCTATTCACCCATGCTGAGCCTGCCACTTTGCATAAAAAACAGTACAGAATGGTTTAGGGCCATTTCAGAAGTTGTTGAAAACTCTGTCCTAATCCCTAATTAAAATTCATTTAGTGTTTTTTTTTTCCTGTTTTGAAATTCAAGTCAGCAAGTCAAACAATAATTTTTACAAACAAGCTTCCTCACACAGTACAAACCAAAGATACACTGACTTGAAACTCAACCTGCTAAGGAAATTATGGTAGAAAAGTGATTAAAGCCTTTGATTTCTGTAACTAAACCACCATGCGGATGTAAGAACAGAAACTTGTATGTAGAGTCAAAACCCTGCCATTCTTGATGGTTCCAAGTCTGAGCCTTGGAGCCTCAGGTGGTGCTCTGGAGTAGTGAGGCCTGCTGGTGTGCTCTGTACGAAGTGAGAACCAAGGTAGCAGAGAAGTCAAATGATGCGATATGGATGAGAGCGGCTAGAAACACCCCAAACTCGTTACGCATTTGACTTTGAATTAATTTGGTGGGGGGGGGGAGTAAATGTCCAGAAATCTTTCACTGTTGACAAAGTTTCCATGACACCTCACGCTCATTTGTTCAACTTCTTACAGGGTCATGACCCACCATTGCCTCATAGAGACTAGGAGGACACTAAATTCTTTCCCATATTCATGAGGAAGTGGAGTAGTAGCAGAAAGTAGATGAGTCAGCAATTTAAGTCATCAAGGGTTATAGGTATTATTTAATCCACCACTTAATAAAGCTTGTGAAGTGTCTGTCATATAGAATTTTTTTGTGCTGATGAGAAAGCCGAGATTGGATGAACCACTGTCACACAGACTGTCTGAAGACGGAAGCTTTGAGCACAGATGAACATAATCCCAAAGCCACAGATATCCTCTCTAATCTTTACTGAGCAAGCTCAGGAGATGTAATCCTGGAGTAGAGTTTGTCATTTGACTCAACTTCCTAGGCTTCAGTTTCCTCATGAAATGATTAGAAGCCATGGTAGAGTTTTCTCTGTGCTTTAGCTTTATACCATTCTAGTTTTTACCCAGCTAGCAACAAAAGCACTGAAAACCCTTTCTATGGATGGAAAACCTAAAACCATTGCCTCTTCCTAAGCTGGAAGACAAGGGTGAGAACAAAGAATGGCTTAGAGCCCTTGTGATATGTACATTGATCAAAGCATGCACAGCACAGGAAAGAAGGGAATGATTCATACTTTCAGACCTTTCATTTCATAAAACAAATGAAGTCACATAAACGTTTAGAGGTGGCCAGTCTTCACTCAGTTGCCAAATTGCTGGTGATATTTCTCTTCCGTCCATAATACAGCTTCCCCGATTCTCCTAGCTGCTAAGGAGTAGATGTCTGCAGAAATAGGCCATGGGATTGGAGCATCTGCAAGGCAAGAGGAAGGAGGGATCAGAGCCCCTGTTTCTCCCATACTTTAAGACCTCATTTCAAGGTTCCTATACCTGTTGTCAAGGCTTCCCTTGACTAAAGTTAGCTGTGTTGTCTTTTAAAAAATATTTAAACGAGTGTTAATGGTTCTTGAGTCAGGTAGACATCAAGCAGATACATAGTGAATAGAAGATGGTTGACCAGGACCCAGAGCATAGAAAGTTTATTGGCAGAACAACACCAATGGGCATATTTCCAGAAAAGGCTGTTAGCATCACTGGCTAGATGTTCCAGAATAGCTGGAAATTTCCTTCATGGGATTATCATCTTTGCCTGAAATTTGATGACACCAAACCAAAGTTAACCAAAGCAGAAAGAAGGAAAGAAAGAAAGAAAGAAAGAAAGAAAGAAAGAAAGAAAGAAAGAA